CTAAGAAAGTTCTCCTGATGCGGTAAGTAAGATGCTAATACTTATGTAGCAATTACTTCTATAATCTACAAAAACAACTAAAGTCTCTCTCATACAGGTATTATTCATAACTGACACAAAGATAAGTATCCTAATAGCACCAGACAATTACAGCAGGAGTATTAGTAAACAATGTGTAACATTCTACACAGGAATTAATCTCTAGCTTACCGGGTCAATTGCAAAGTTATCACCTTCCATTTCCTTTGTTGCAGATTGGAAAAGAATCACACATTTCTTATGAGCTTAACTAAGTGCTTTCAATCCTTTTTTTCTTAACAACTTTTATACCATATCTATATACAAAACATAATATTTTCTACACAAAACATATGATACCAAGACTAATAATGATCTACCACAGAATACTTCCTAATGGTACACATCTAAGAGGGCAACAAACCTGACAAACATTACATATGCAATATGCTTACCAACAAATCATCTCAACATCGAACTAAGAACGCAACATGTGAAGAGTAAAACCTCAAGGCCTTCACACACAAACTTAAACTGAGCAATCCAACAAAACGAAAAAGCGTTAACCACAAAGGACTAAAATCTTTCCAGTGACTTACCATATCCAGGTTATTGCCTTGGCCCTTGCTGGGACTGTGTGTTGGAGACATCATATCTTCCTGTTCTTGCTGTGGAGTTTTATCAAATGGTGTAGACTTTTCAGGCAATCTGTTATCCAAGCCGACACTAACTTTGGTTGGCGAGGCTGCAAAATATGGGAATAAAATGAGCCATTCTTCTTTTTTATGGATAGTCACTATATGCAGTAAAAAAGAATAAACATCTATAAATACAAAATCTTAAAGAAGATTTACAAGTCTTCTCTTAGTCTGAGAAGGTAAACAATAACTTTGCATTTACAACTTCCCATATGATAGAAGTCCTAACAATAATTATAGTACACATAAAATGTGTCTTCTTAATAATCCTTATTTATCCTTTATATCAATCCAAATGATTAAAGAACTGCATTGTTTCATAATACATATATATATACATATATCTTTTACACAATTAATAAAAATTCAACAATTTCCTGTCCAGAATACTTAACACCAACTAAGAAGAAAAAAATTCAATTTAAACTCCAAAATTCTCTTTGATTCCCTTGTTCTTTCAATAAATAAGGCCCCGTATTGCTTTTTCCATTCTCTTGTGCCTAAAAGTAAATTTCTTTGCTTTGCATGTTTTACCTCTGAGCTTCTCCTAATCATACTGATTGCATAAACGATATACTGATTCTGTAATCCTCTATGAAATGCTGAAATGCAGCACAGCAATTCAATATTTAGAAATATTAATTTTCAATTTAGTCTTCACATAATTTTTTTCTTATTAATGTGTGAAGGAGAGACATAATTTACAAAGACAATGCATCCAACTACAAGTGATTCAGTAACATCTGCTGTGAGTGTAGCCCACTAGACCTGTGAAAAGAAACGAGCTGAAAGTGCAGTACTCTACAGCATCTTCTGCAAATGCTAGCAGATGACAGTGGTTATGGTGGTGGTGGCTTTGACAGTTCCAGTGATCACAGCAAGCAATCAACCAGTCATTCATATCTTTTTGTCTCTAACCTTGTTAACACTGCTACTGTATCTGCCTCAGTCACCTTCATTTTCAGTATCTTCACCACCACAACCACCACTGTCAATGCTTCTTTCTGCACCATCTCCTAACAAGAGCACAGTTTAAGAATATACCGAGTTGATCATGAAGGGATGAATCCTAAGCACTGAACACTGCACCATTTGCTCACACATATTTCTATTCCATTCTTTTACATTGATCCTCACCCATTTTCATTGTTCTTTCTTTTTATTAATACCATTAAAAGCCAAATGAAAAAAATAGATTTGTTTTAAAACAATGCTTTGGATATGAAGTCAAAGCAAAATATCTATTGCTATCAATATGAACCCTGACAAAAGATCATATGAATATAAAAGGTTACATTGCAGCTCTATGAAAAATTTCTTTTTACATGGAAAGCATAATAACTTTTCATCTTGGAACACTCACCTGGTGTAGAAGACGCTGGAGAAAGGACATCAGGGCTTAAATCAAATGTTAACTGAGGAGTTAACACCAGTTCATTTTGCCGAGGAGAGGTCACAGATGGAGAGCGAGGAGATGTGTTGCCTTCTGCAATCAAGTCACTCACTCGTTTCAGGATCTGAGACTTGCTACTGGATACAGAGGAGGTGGGAGGATCTTCTGGGTGAATTGCGGGGGATGCATTATTCTTGCTTTCATCGTCCAGGTGAGAGGACTGCACTTCTGTTTTAGTCTTGGGGAGAATTCCTTCACCTACAAAACTTACTGAAGGGTCCTCTCTTGGAACTTGAACATCAGAAATGTCTGAACCTGTGTTTCTTTCTTTCAGAATGGAAGTGAAGAGTTGAGAGGTTTCCTTCATCATAGAAGCTAACAGATTATTTGAAATGTCATCAACCAGTCGCTGAGTCCTTAGGGAATGGGCCTGACCATCATCCTCTTCCACTGGATGTACATCCTCTACAGAATCAATCTTTTGAGAAACCTTTGATAAATCTTCATTAACCTTCTCTGAAGAAGCATCTTTGCTGGGGGAAATGAAATCCAGTGACTGAGGGCCAGAATGATCCTCCTCTTGCTTCTTGTCTGCATACTGGAGAGCAAATGCATCATCTCTTGAATCAGCAATATGACCACTTGCCTCACCCCCACTTTCTTCATATTGTTCTTCTACTATTTCCTCACCAATACTGCCTTCTAAGCTCGTATCTTTATCTTGTTCTGATGAGTCGTAACCTTCCTGAGATCCCAAGTCTGGGGTTGGTATGAAAATCTCTAATTTTTTCTCAGTTTCAGCTAAAACATTTGGTAATTGACTATCAACATGTTCTTTTTTCTCTGATTTGCATTCTTGTTGATCACATTCCACATCAATTTGGTCTTCTTCCTCTTGCTTACTATGGTCTATCTTGTTCAAGTCTATTACTCTGCTCTCATCTTTACTTTTGTCCTGTTCATGCTGTGATGCTAAACCACTAATTTCACTTAAAATACTGTCTTCCTCATCATCCTTTGGCCCTGAATCTTGTTTCTTGGGACTCTGTACAATGGTTTCGGTGCTGGAGGCCTGAGATGGAGTATGATCTGTGTCTTGGCTGGAGTCATGAGATAAAGATTTGTGTGGGGAAGGAGAAGCATTTTCATTGGAATGTTCAGTTGTGGTTGTCTCTTCATCAAAACTATAATCCTCGGAGATAGATGATGTTCGTGAAACCCTAGATGTTTCAGCATCTTCAAGGGCACACTGTTGAGCTTGTGCTGTTGGATCCAGTACATCAGGTGTTTTCTCTGGCTGCTTCTCAATTATCTCATTTTGTACTGGTGTGTGAATGCTTTCTGGCAATAAGCTCTTTGCTTGGGACTTCTGTGATTCTAACTCTCTAGGTGATACTGAGCTAGATGTCTTGATAATTTCTTCTTTTGACTTTGAGGAGGACTTTTCAGACTGTTCAGACTTGGCACCCTCTGAGAGAATAGAGGTTTCAGAGATATCTGATCTATCAGGACTGGTTAAAATAGATTCTGACTGCCTTGACTTCTTGGTCTCGGCGACTTGTGGTTTTTTAATAAGAGGCCTGACCATGGATGCTTGCTGAAGCTCTTTTGATTCCTTTTCAAGTTCCATGCGAGCTTGCTGGATATAAGAATCATAAGCTGAGATCTGCTGCCTCAGAGCATGTTCCTGAGAAGCAAGACGTTCCCTCCTCAGCCTGCGCTTCTCCCTCCGCAAGCGGTCAGCTTCTGCTCGTCTGGAGGCCAGTTGTTCCTTGAGAGCCAAAAGCTTTCCCTCCCCATCAGAAATATCTGAAGCAGTTTCTGTTTGTGAAAGAGTGAATGAGTCATCTGATTCACTTGAGTAGCGTCGGTGGTGCCTGTGGGGTGAGCGTGGCGACAGTGGTACCCTAATAGGAAGGGGCAAAGCCTTAGCAGATGAAAGTTTTTGACTGGAAGACCTTCCTTCCCCTGACTTGTTTTCGCTTGCATGGTTGGACTCATTTCCTGATCGTGAGGAGACAGATGCTGCTTGGCTTTTCGTTTCTCTGGACACCTCCTCTGAAACAGCAGTGTCTGTTCTACTACGTGTCGGTATCTCTGAAACTATTGAGCTAGTTTTTATGGTGCTCTGACCCTCTGCAGATTTGGAAGTTTTCTCATTTCCTTCAGATTTTACAGAACTAGGTCTGTCTGTGCTTTTGGAATTACCATCACTCACTAGTGTTCTAATGCTACTTGTTTTATCACTGGATCTAGAAGTTTTTGTATCGACTGAAGACTGGGGTGTTGATTTGCTTTCTTTAGATTTTGAGTACTTTGCAGATGACACATTTTCCATATCTTCACTCACATGTGAGGACTGAATCTCACTTGCTATGGTTCGAGCAGATGAACTTCGAGCACTACCTGCTAATCTTGCACTAACAATTTCTTCACTCGATGGTAATTTCTTAGCACCAGATAATTCTTGGGGAATAGAGGACTTACTCCTCAAACTGAGCCCATCATGCTCTGACACAGAAGAAGCGGCATCACTATGACACACAGATTCTGTTCCTCCTTCCTCAGGCACTGAACTCTGACTGTCATGGGCAGACGCATCTACACTCTCTTCAGGGACAGAGCTCCCAGTTGATGACACACTGTCCTGAACCAGTGTGGCCAGAGGAGAGGAGGAAGTTGGACTCTTCTCTCTCTTATCCCTTGGCCTTCTGCTTCCAATTTCACCCTTTCTTTTCACTTTGCCTGGGTCCTTGTCCTGGCTCTTCAGTCTGAATATCTCCTTTTCTTCCTGGAGCAGCTGTTGGTGCAATAGTTCTACCTCAGTTGCCCGCCGCTTTTCTTGCAAGCGCATCGAACTTATTCTCTTGCGTTCTTCTGAGTGTGAACGCCGCTTCTCTCTCCCTCCTCCATCTGAGGGACTGCTGGACCCTGCATCCTTGCCCTTTAGGGACAAATGCAATGATATATCATCCTGACTCTCACTTGATGAAGATATGTTGATCTCCATCATTCTGGGAGTCAAACGAGGTGAAGTTGGATTTGGTGACTGACCTCGGGAGGTAGTCACACATCCTCTGGCACCAACTGCTGCTGCACCATTTGTGGTAGCAAGGAGATGATAATGTTGCAAAAGTAATAATCTCCTTTGTTGTGCAGCTAGGTTCTGTGTCTCAATCAAGCGCCGCAGATGTGCCCTTTGCTCCCGAAGCTGTAGCAAGACAGCTCGTTGCTTTTTCCGTAGCCCTGGACCTCCCTCAGATTGCAAGGCAGCTAATTTCCATCTTGCTTCTTCTATTAGGGATTGTTCCTGTGATTAAAACAAAATAATAAAAGAATGTTAAGTGAGTCACAATTTTTGAATTATGAAACAAATTACAAGAACTGGCATGTTTGGGGGGGGGGGGGGTGCATGTGTTGCATGTATGGTGAGTGTGTTGCGTATGTGTTGCGTGTATGGTGCGTGTGTGGTGCGTGTGGTGTGGTGTGGTGGTGGTGTGGTATGGTGTGTGTGTGTGGCGTGCGTGTGTGTGTGTGGTGGCGTGTGTGTGTGTGTGTGTGTGTGTGGCGCGTGTGTGTGTGGGCGTGTGTGTGTGTGGGGTGGTGTGTGGGGTGCGGTGTGTGGGGTGCGGTGTGTGGGGTGGTGTGGTGTGGGTGTGGTGTGTGGGGTGTGTGTGTGTGGTGTGTGTGGGGTGGTGTGTGTGGGGTGGTGTGTGTGGGGTAGGGTGTGTGGGGTGGGGTGAGTGGGATGGGGTGAGTGTGGCTGTGGGGTGGGGGGTGGGGTGTGGGGTGTGGGGTGTGGCGTGGGGTGTTGTGTGTGGCGTGTGTGTGTGTGGCAAGTGTGTGTGTATGTGTGTAAGTGTGTATGTGTGTGTGTGTGTGTGTGTATGTATGTATGTATGTATGTATGTATGTATGTATGTATGTATGTATGTATGTATGTATGTATGTATGTATGTATGTATGTATGTATGTATGTATGTATGTGTGTGTGTGTGTGTGTGTGTGTGTGTGTGTGTGTGTGTGTGTGTGTGTGTGTGTGTGTGTGTGTGTGTGTGTGATGTAAGATGGCAAAGAAAGGATAGTTCATGATAATAATACTATCATAAGTAAGAGAATGTGAAGATCATATACATAGATCATTATAATATATATAAAAAAAGGAAGACTGGAGTAATTAGAGATCACAAAAGACAAACAATCTTACTTGTAATTTTAGAAGTGCCTTTTGGTGCTGGTGCCGTAGTTCTTCCTCTTTCTGCATCGACTCCATCATGTTTAGTGTCATTCCTAGTGCACTACTGCTCCCTCCAGTCAACATCCCACTGGGTAATCCACCACCAGCTGTGTAGTCCATCTGGTCCATGGCTGTCAGAATGTTTGCCGAGGTGACAACAATTGACAAGTCTCCATTGTAATCTCTTACTCTCTTGCTCTGAGAAGGAATGGCTGATGATGAAGATGATGAGCCGTCACTGCCAGATTCCACCTCAAATGATTCTGAATAGACATCAGACTTTTCCTTTGACTCATTCTGAACTGACTCTGTGCGTGACTTTGATGTGATGGAGGAAGATTTTGTCCTGGATGTCGATACCGATTCCTTGCTGTTCTTTGAGGATCTGATACTTTCCTGTATTTGGCTACTTTCACTTTTTGAAGGTTCCTTGCTATACACCTCCGACAATGATGTTGCAGTTTTTGATGGTAGTGATTCTCGCATGGTAGAAGAAACTAAACCACTGCTAACATTAGTACTTGTTCCAACAATATCTTCAATTAATTCCTGAGAACCACTTCCTGATCCAGGAGTTTCTTCTGTAATATGAGTAGATTGTCTATCTCCATAAGAGGACTGTACAGTTTCATCGTTTTTGGACATTCTAGTACTAATTAAGGCTTCCGACACCGATTCCATCTGAGTCAATCTGTTACTTTGCACATCACTTTCCACTTCTTCTATCACTGACCTATCTTGTGATGTAGTAGTACCTGCAAGGCCCTCCTCCTCTTGGACAGAGGTCTCAGATTGTGTTGTTTTTCTGTGGCCAACAGTTGGTATGCTCCTTTCTGTGCTAATTTCCTCTGACACAGATGATCTTCTGCTTGACTCAGTTGCTGACAAAACCTGTTCCTCTACTGAATATTTTGTACTTGCTGAGTGAATACTAGAGGGTAAATCTTCTGCCACAGAACTTTTAGACCTATCAGCACTTGCAACACTTATCCTTTCAGAAACTGAAGATGACTTACGACTCTTGCTAGAAGTTGATCGATTAGAAGAGTACTTCTCACTACGAGAAACTCTAGATCGTGACCTGTCACCAGAAGACCCTGTAAAAGTACTTGAATAATGATGAGAGTCCTTCATGGAAGATGAAACAGATCCCTGACTTAAAATAACAGCACTAGATTCTAATCCTGAACTGGCACCCCCTCTGGCGGGTCTTAGCCTCTCCCATTGAGAAATTGTTGCACCAACAGCAGCTACAGCAGCTGCAGCAATCACATCTGGCTGAGAACCTGCTGGCTGAGGAGGAGCCATATGAGTGGTACTTGACAAAATCTGTTCTGCTCGTGCACGCACTTCCCTTTCTAACTGAGTGAGACGATCTTTTGCCTCCTTCTCCATCCTCTCTACACTGAGCAGGGCCTCTTGATGCCGCTGTTGGTCTTCTCTAATTTTCCTGTCTTCCTCTGCTTTTCTTCTCTTGTCTTCTTCCTGTCTTTTCTTTTCTTCTTCTTTTTTCTTTTCCTCTTCTTTCTTTCTCTGTTCCTCTGCTAATCTCTCCTGATGTTCCAGAGCTAATGACTGTGAGTAAGCTATGGCTTCTTGGCTGCTTTTGGAAAGTATCCGGAACTGTTCTGCATCACGGAGCTGACTGAGAGCTTCACCTAATGTGTCTTGATACATAAGCTCTGCATTCAGCCTCAACCTCAAGCTGGCAGGGGCAAAGTGGGGTCCCTTGCCCAGTAACTGATGTGGAGCTTGTATATCGTCCTCACCCACAGAGGAATCTGGGGTTTCCTGAACCCCAGAAGACCCCAGTATTTCTCCTTCTTCAAGGTCTGAAGGGTAGGGTCTTTCACTTTCACTGGAAGACACTTTAGACTGTGTGTTAACAGCAACATATTGTGATTCTTCCTCTAAAGGGCCTTCCTCTATAGTTACTTCATGTTTTTCTGATCTATTCAACATAGATTTTAAAGCTTTTGATGTCTCAGCATTAACATACTTTACTGCTGGTGCTTTAGCCTTCACTGCCACAGCTCCATCAATTTCTGTACTCTTCACACTAGCATCTGCATTACTTAACAGCAAGGTCTTTTCACCTGTAAAGGTTTTCTTCAAGTCTACAAATGTATTTTTGTCTGGTTCTCTTATAAGTTTCTGGTTCTTTTGGTCTTTTGTTTTTTCTTTTCTCCTCTTCTCATGTTTCATTACATCAAGATTTGTCTGGGTTTCTTTTTCCTGTACATTATGAGTTTCTCTCTTATCAGCATCAGATATTGGTCCTTCTGTTAGTGTAGCATCCAACTCAGTTTTATCTAAACCTTCAATATTTTCCTTGTCGCTGTCATTATTCTCAATATTTCTCTGGGGGTGACGAGTGTGCTCTCCCTCTGCTGCCATGTGTCCTACAGTCTCTTGTTCCCTGCCTCTGCTGTCAATGAAGTTGTCAATATTTCCAGTCTCACTTAAAACAATGTATGGCTTGATCCACTCTGGTAAATCTGTTTTCTTAAAGATGTAGGGGGCATCTCTCCTGGGTATCATGCTCTTGTTTTCTAACTCCATTCTGATTTTCCTCCAGTCAACCTCGTTGCACTCCTCACTTGAAGACAACTCTCCTCTATTAGGCTGGTCTGTCTTTAAATTGTGTTTCTTAAAGAATTTATTTTGCACTGTGTTGATATGTTGTTTGCTGTTGCCTATTCTAATTGTCTGACTCACTTTTGCAGTTTTCTTTATAGGTCTTCCAAATTTTTTCCCCAATATTGCGCTTGTAACCTTTCGTACACAATAGCCCCTATAAACTGACTGAATACACAAAGCAGCTTTTTCCATCATGTTTCTCCTTCCATAAGAATGTGGCTCTGGTGCCCCTGGGACATTCTGAGGATTGTATCCTATGAACTGGAATGCTGATGAACCATTCGGGACCTCTTGCACCAACTGGCCCTTTGTTGATGGGATGTTATTTCCTGGCAAAGAAAGAAGAGTGTTCACCTTTGGTTGAGGGACTGAAGTGCCTGCATGAGGCCTGGCAATATTACCTCCTGACAGTTGTAATGTTGGTATCTCTGGTGGTAATAAATCAGGTATGTCTTCCTTTTCTGCTGCAGTTATTCTGGGTGATGGAGTCTGCTTGCGACTCTGCTGCTCCTGCCTCAATCTCTGATGAATCAACTGAGGTGTCAAAGATGCTTGAGTGTTTCTTTCTATGGGGTCATTTTGTTTAGTGTTAGTTGTCTGAGTAGGAATTTGATCCACCCTTCCTTGCACTCTTGAGGCATTCTGAGGAAGCATGGCAGTCATTCTTGCTATCAGTTCATCCACTGAGAGCGTCTGTATCTGGGAGTAAGAGAGAGATTCCCTAGGGGGAATTTCCTTCACTCCAGTTTTTGAGACTTTTGAGTGATGCAAAGGCACATTGTCTGGTTCTCCTTCCCTCTTCTGACCGGTATTTAACCGTAGATTTTCCTCTTCTTTTTCAATTCTACTTGTAAGTTTCTGTGCCATTTGACCTAGCGAGAGTACCCGCGGTTTTGGTCGCAAGTCAAAGCTTGAGGTACTAGATTGTGATTCACTGCTCTTCATCTCACTGTCTGAGGAACTTAAGGATACAGAGGATGACGAAGAGATGCTTTCAAGGGAAATACTGGAAGATCTGACCTGTCTCTCACACTCCTCAAGGGTTCTACTTACAATTTCACTTATGCTGTCACTATCACTCAAAGACACTGTTCTCTTTTTTCTTCTCTTTTTCCCCTCTTTCTTTGTCTTTTTGGTATGTGCAACTTTTGCACCTTCAATCTTTTCCCCACTAGGTTCACTAATTTTTTCAATTCTTCCCTTCTTAGCAGAACTTTCATCTTTAGATTTAGCATTCACTTGTGCTGGATCAATGGTATTTTGGACTCCTGGGTTAAGACTTGGGTTCTGGACAGTGTCATGGTGGCAATTACTTGGACAGCCCCACTGAGGATCCTCAATATGAGCATCACCCTGAAAAAATAAGGAACAAATCAATCATTGATGTACATTCCGAAGCAAATAAGAAAAAGGAAATGCTTGTACATCCACATAAGAGTATAAAATCAACAGGAAACAGAATCAGAAACAATTATATTTCTTTGAACCGTAAACATTTATAGTGAATATTCAAGCATGAAAGTATAAGCATATTAATCCAAGCATGAATAAATACTCTTTACAGCACCTTTGAATTAACATCTTGATTTTTCTCACGGTCAGGAACACTTTGCTTCTTGCCAGTCTGTGCTAATTCCTTAGTTTTCTGAGCCAGTTCCTTGAAATATGTGTAATACTTGTTATAGTATATAAATTCATACATATTACTTAAAGCAATTATTTTTCATGTAAATGAAGGTGATTTGCAAGATTCAATAGTAAAAAAAAGAAAAGAAAAGAAAGAAAAAATAAAAACTGTTACATCTGACATCATATATAAAAACTACTTGGGGAAGTATTCCCTTGAAATTTAGAGCAGCAGCTAATTCTCGAAGACTTACTTTTAATCTCTCCTCCTTTTTTATTTTTTCTAATTGCCTTTGGGTCTTCATTTCCTTCAAGTTTTTCAGCCTTTCTGATCGCTTGCTTTCCATATACTTTTGGATTTCCTCTTGCTTGTAACTGCGCACTCTCGGTGGGGTTTTGGGTGGGGCTGGTTCCCTCTCTGCTTCATCTTAAAAAAAAAAATAATAATAATAATAAAATAAAAATAAATAAATAAAAAATTAATAAATAATAAAGGCATTGTGGATTGTCAACTTTTGAAAAGTAGCAATCATTCTGTATATACTACTTTCTTTCTCTCTTTTTCTAGGGGTGCTTAAGGGCACTGGTTTCCAACATATATCAAATAAATTCAAAAGAGAAAAAAAATTAACATCAACCATTCCACCTAGCTGATTATATGGTTTCTCTAATTTTACTAATGAAAACTACCAACTTGAAATCAAAGTAAATAATGGTTTTTGCATTAATACTTGATACAACAAAGTACATCCCTAAAAATTAATTGTTTTTCCTTAAGTATCGTGCCTGATCTTACACAAACTTTTAACACATCATAATAAGCTACATGCATCATACTACAAGTTATAGTTAACTGTTATCACCTCATCATACCTTTCTGGCTAGTAAATCTTTGCCGTGATCTTGGTGGTTGCATTTCATCCCGGGAAGATGCTGAAAGATCTCTTTTGTACCTACTTTCTCTTGTGGATTCTCTCTCATGTTTCTCTTCTTCTCCTTTGTCTTTCTGGTCTTCATTCTGAGGTGCTTGTGGCAGGGGTCCATAACGCTCCCTAGCTAAACGTTCTCCAACTCGCCAGCTTCTGGTTGTTATAACTGGGGTAATACATTGACTAATTCAATACAATGAAGGCCGAAATGAGGGATTCTGGTGTATCCTTTACAACTTTCCAAAACAAAAAGTGTACAGATATGTATTTCTTGTACCTTAATATCAACCTGTTATTGCTATCTAAATTAGTTATAATAGTCAAAGAAAAACCCATCATACAAGAAATAATAATAACTGATAAATAAATAACTAAATCAAAATTAAATTTTAATAATAAAAAATAAATCCCTTACCACTTTCATCAATCTTTCCCCCAAACTTTCTCTTCATCTTTATGGCACTTCTCTCGGGGATCTCCTCCCTGCCTTCTGCGTGACTAGACTCATCATCCATGACCATGTGATGACTTTGATGCCCTCTGGCTGAGTCTTGAATTAGCAAGTCATCGGGAGTATTTGAGCATTGTGTCGGGGAGTGTTCTGATGGTCGGCCAGGTGAATTGGTCTGCGAGGCCTGCTGCATCTCTGAGGGAGACTGCTGAAGTGTTTCTTTGTGCTGCTCAGGGCCTTCATCATAGTCATTGCGGACATCTTCTCGACTCCCTTGGACATCATTGTCGAGAATGTTATTTCCTTTCCTTTCTGTGTTATTACGACTGGAGCCATCTGAATAAAAGCCATCTTCGCTTGGAATGTTCTGGGATATGACAGGTAATTTTGAGACATCTTCCCAAACTGCTGAGGGGACCTTGCCTGAAAGAGTAAAAATCTGTAAGTCATCCTCTTTAACATAATAAAACATAACATAATAAGGCAATTATCTACAACCGGACTGCATCAAGGGATGAAGAGTCCAACAAACCTCCATTGAATATAGGATAGAGACTTCATTATTTTTGGTTTGACAATAAGGTGCAAGGGAGGTCTATAGGGTATATCTACAAAGAATACATGTGGAAATTTACTGACTTTGACAGAGTGTAAAATATGAGGGTATAGCATCCCTTGATGATTAGATCCATATATTTGATATGTGATTATATGATTGGCTTGACTTAGCTTGCTCACTTTTTTTTCTCTTTCTTTTATAAATGTGTTATTTTGTCTTTTCTCTATCTCAAATTTGCACTCACTGACAATTTCTTAATAATTTGCAAAATCAGGTATACTACTACCACACTAGCAAATCTTTAGGGTATGGACACCTGTGCTATATTTTACCACCTGTGCAATATTTTTAATGAGCATCACAGATCGCTTCCTTCTTGCCACAGCTAATTTGTACCCACCTTATTAAGTTATATCATCAAATACCCCCAATTAATTCAAATTCAAAGCCAATATATGTTGTTTAAATTGGGTGGAGGGGAGTTCAGGGGGGGTGACCTTGCCCCTCTTGGCTAAGCAAAAAGCTCTATCTTCACATGCATATCAAGGTGAAGACAATGTTTGCCAGAGGGTGTTAGGGGTGTAGCCCCCATCTACCTTACCCATGGTGCTAATCATGGCAACTTGGACTTCTGAGTAAATTTTGTGTCATTTCCCATGTGCACTTGATGTGCTTTCCTTATTTTCAAATATGATGGGCATAATCGGACACTCTAATTTTTTGTCTTCGTAAATAGGAAGTTTGGCTCGCATTTCTGAAAAGTTGCATTTCTTTGATCTACATAAATTGGAATTTTGGCTCACATTTCTGAAAAGTCACATTTCTTTGATCTTTGTAAATAGAAAGTATGGCACACATTTCCAAAGCTGCCCTTCTTTGCATTCATAATTTTCTTTGGTTATTTACTCACAGTCAATTCAAACTGAGGCTAACTCTTTATCACCCCCGCCCAAGCCCCTGGTCCCCTACGTCCCTCAAGACTACTGGAGGCTTAGTCTCTGGTGAGTGCCTCCAGACTGTAATCATTACTAATTATAGAATTATCATAAAACTAACTAATTATAACATTAATAAATCACTACAAAATAATGCAGGATATAGGTACATTGCATAATTGAAAAACAACATAGTAACATTGCATAATTGAAAAAACAGCAAAAACAACAATATTTACTGGATTTCTGATAAGTACTGCGCAGGGTTACATTTGTTGCATCTCTGCTCCTACTTCTTTGCTGATACTGAAATGGATTCGTTCCTCCTGTTGAGAGAAAATTTACATTTTAAAATGGCAATATACATGCAGAATTCAGAGAAAAAAACTATCCCAAGACTAAGTTACCATATCCATAGGAAAACTCATACCTATAAATCTACTATTATGTTCCTCTTCTGACACTTCCTCCCACACTGGAACACCCCGCCTTAAAAGCTGTGAGACAAATTCACGGCGTCCTTCATCCATGTTTTTCTGCAAATCTTCGGCCCTTCTCTGTCGTTCCTTCTTGGGTTCCATGTCCTTCCTAAGTTTAGATCTTGCCGTTTTCTCATTTGGTCTCTCATAGTCCTCTGCTCCTCCTTTCGGCAATTTAGGAAGAGCGACGTTGACAAAGTTGAACTTCACTTCTGGAGAGGGAGGAGAGGAATCGTCGCCGTGAGGTACATCATTCAGTACTCGACCTCTGACCTCACGGACAGGCTGTAGGTCAAGGTCATCTAAGAGATTGGATTTTGTTCTTGAAGTAAGCCGGCTGGAAGAAGCCATGTCCTGCTACTGCATTCATGGGACTTAGCGGAGACATCGGGGTACTCTTTCATTCATCTGCAAAATTAGCAAGAATTAGTCTTTCTCTCCAAAAGTGTAGCTGAGAGGGCAGGTAGGCGAGGATTGTGGTACTGTAGAGTGAAAGTGAAAAGAAAAAAGCAAAACAAATCATAATAATGATAATAATAAACTCAAATCCTTTCACAACTTCAAACCCTTATCAAATAATAAATATCCACAACCTAACTAAAATCTAGCATCATGGTCAAGACACAGACCATTCTTTCTTTATTAATATAATAAACAAGCATCCAGGAATCTATAACTATTACTTATGTTAGACACATTCCCAAATAGTGTATTTGTAACAACAACAACAACAACAACAACAAAACAACAAAAACAAAAACAATCTATGCCATGAAAAAACAAAACAAGAAAAGAAGCAAACAATCCCCTGCAAAAATGTTACACGTATAGAATTACATCCATTCCAAGTGCTGTAAAAATTGAAGCTGCATCATATCAAATTTCAAGTCTCTAGCATTCTCTCCCTCTCCTCAATTCCTCCCTTCTCATCTCTCTCCCGCCTCATTCTTTAAAGAAGCTGATTATTTTTTTGCTATTGGTTTGGTTTGATAGAGAGCAGAAAGATAATAATTTTTCAAGAGGTCCATATGATGACACGTAATAATATATATTTGTACTGTGAATGAAAAGGAAGAACTCCATAAAAGGCATTATACAACTGAAGTCTTTATATTACATCTTTATCCAAACTTTGTAATTTTGATAGAGGATATTGAAACCAAAATTAAGTAAAATATTATCCACAGCAGAATTATCCACATTAAATCGCGTTGTCATCTTCTGTCTTAATGAATTCTACTCATTTTTTATTGGATCTAATAGAGCAACAATAGTTCCCACATTCACTGGGAAGGGCATGATGCATATCTCAAAACAGCCCCAACTTGGTGAAAAGATCATAGCATTGTAGGCAATGAAAAGCTGAATTCAGTGATTTCAAGTTCAGTCTGCAAAAGCCAACTGATTTAAAGAAAACAATGAAAATGTATTGTAGCAAATGTTGCATGGAGACTAAGGCCCCACATGCCTCCAACAACTAAATCCGGCCTTCCTCTCCTCCTAGTGACGTGGATACACGTCAAACCAACATAAACTGCCTTGACATATATAGCTTGTGACGTCACTGCCAATCATTGTCAATTTCTTAGAATACATCATACTATTCATGTACGTCCGTATTTTGATATATAAAAAACTATACCAATAATGATTATTGAATGTTAATTCCTTAAATATGTGAAGTGTTCTACTTTATTATATATGCACATTATGATCGCCATTGTTATTGTTGGTAGTCAACAATCAAAATAATTATGTAATATCAATATGGAACAAGGAAATTACTAATAGTTTCATGTACTTTCATGTGTTATCTGAAAAGTTTCAGGATGTACACTCTTGAAGTGCACACTTGGTAACCATTGCACACTGCACACTTCAAATATTTTTCTTGCACACCCAAGATCTCAGTGAAAAATGCTGTACTTCCCATACTGGTCTTATACTGTGAAGATATTCCTTCTCATTCATATCTCTTCTATGTAACGACAATAATTGGACTGCAGTATAGGATATATGCATCATTCAAATAGTAATATTTTGTCTTCAATTTTTTGTTTTTGTTTTAAAATTACACTATTATGCCTGTCCAGACCAGTTGGACAAGATGTTTAGGCCGTTCGGAACCTCAACTTTCTTGTCCTGGACAAATTGTCCATTTCATCCATCTCACCCTCCTGCAAAACTGGACGAGCATGACAAGACTTCAAAATAGCTTTTGTATGTAAACACTGACAGTTGCAGGTAACCACAAGATATTGATGGGTAATTTTATGACCCTTTATTGATGTTGTCAAAGGATAATTCTGTATTTGTCATTTGCATTTATGTTAAATATGCATCAAAGGAGTTACAGAATCTATGCAGCGTGTAGAATAGACACCAGTATGACAAATGAGTGAATGTTTACATTCGAGCCAGTTGCACTCTGGATAGCGAGGGGCTTAGAGGTTCTGAACGCAGCCTTGTTGTCTTGCTGGTCCTGGACAAGTTGTCTGGACGAGCAAGATGTGGAATTCCGAACACAGCATTATCTGAATTTTATATGTAATAATACCTGCAAACATTGCAACTTCTAACAGATAAACTTTGAATTTTACAGTAAACAAATATCAGTAAAAAATATCTGAGACATTGTTAAACGATTTTTATCAATATACGATTTATGGATTTTCCTCAACATAAAAGAAATCTATAATTCCAGTTGTCACGAACTTACATAAAATGTAAATCAAGCTCATATCATGCTAGCCTGTAAATAAACAGATTCTGTTCCACTCTCACTCCGCGAGCCATTACAGAAATACATTCCAAAAAAGATATCAAAAACCTTTATTTTTTGCGTGTGAAAGTACCCTGCCGAGATATGACAATTTTCATCTATTTCGTCCCTTAACTAATTATCAAAATACTCCAAACTACACCAACTAGAGCCTTACATTACGAGCACGGCGAATATCCTCATGGAATTGTGCGACAGGCCAGCGATGGAGCAGAAAAGGAGAAAAAAAGAATCGAAAATAATATCGCCTTCTGCCTGTCTCCGGATTCAAAACAACACAGGAATGTAGGCTGACTAAATGTTAACATCATAAAATTGTTATTTTCTATCTTATTGTAATTTTGTTTATTGTTTAAGTATAAAAAATTATTATTTTTTATTTTTCATCATATAAAAGAGATGTTATGCGTCAATTTTGTGGCTTTGGTGTATTTTGAATTCTTATCATTCGATTCAATTCACTCTAAAAAAAAAAGAAACAATAGAAACTACGATCGTCTCCACTAAATCCATTTACCTACTTACGATAAGATAAGTAATAAAACAAACATCCAAATCATATTTAAAAAGTTATTTCGTGCAGATTCGAATTTCTTACCCACCGCCAACCGCTCAGTGATGTCAAATGTCACAGGGTCTTTTTTACACTTCATTATTATTAACGGTTTTCAAACCGGAGTGGAATAAGCCAAATAAGAATAATAAAGTTGTAGTGAGACATACACAGATAAGTATTAGAGATGGTGATGATTCCTTTTATAAAGAGAAAGATGTAGTAATGCTATTGGCTACTACTACTACTAATATAACTGATAATGATAACGACAATGATAATAGTAATGATAATAATAACGACGATGATAATAGTAATGATATGATAACGACGATGATAATAGTAATGATAATGATAATAGATAATAACAATGATATAGTGAATAGAAAGAGATTATAATAATGATAACAGTAATAACAATGATGATGGTGATGATAATGATGGTGATGATAATGATAATGATGATAATAAGGATAACGACGATGATGATGATGATGATAATGATGACGATGGTGACGATAACGATGATGATCATGATAACAATAATGATATAACAATAATAACAGTGTAAATAATGATAATAATAATATTTATAATGATAATAATAACAATAGTAATGATAATGATAATAATGATGATAAAAATTATAAAGCTAATAACAATAACAACAATAATAATAACAATAATAGTAACAGCAATAATAGTAAATAAATACTAATGATAATGATAATGATAATAATAGAGAGCAATAATGATGATAATATCTGAATTATACTAATAATAGCGATAACAATAATAAAGATTATAATGATAATGATAAGGATATCGATAATGATACTGCTACTACTAACAATAATAATGATAATGATAATAAGAGCAATAACAACAAGATAAGCAACAACAATAATAATGGTGATGATAATGATCATGATTATTATAAAAATGATACTGATCATAATGTTAATGACAATAACAACAACAATAATGATAATAGTAATAAAGAATAGTGATAATGGCAATGGTAGTAACAATAATGATAATACTAATAATGATGATGACAAAAATAATAATAGTAACAATAATTTTGATAATGATACCCATAATGACAACAATGATAATGATAATTATAATAGCGAAGATAACGATATTGATAATAGCACCAATAATTATAAGAGTGATAATAATGATAATGATAATAATAATTATGATAGTAATGATAATAATGATAATAATAATGATAATAGTAATAATAATAATAATAATAATAATAATAATAATAATAATAATAATAATAATGATAATAATAATAATAATATTAATAATAATGATAATAATCATAATATTAACGGTAGTGATAATGATATTGATTCGGTTTCCCGCCTTGACCTCCCTCGCAAGAGCAAGGACGGTGCCATCTTCTTTCTTCTTTTATTGGGTTTTAGAACATTTTATAGTCTACATTCCCTGCCTTCTTATTTTCGAAGGATTCAGCTGGTTCCGGCAGCTGACCCGCGCGAATCCCAGGACACAGCGTGGGATTCGGACACGCACTGGCTGTGTGACCGACCCTCACGGTCCCCCGATGGTCATGTTACCTCTGCACGCGGTAACTATTAAATTCGTTGTGATGATGAAATGAAAAAGACGTTAACAAATATCATTATTATCATCAATTTTATTACAATTATTATCACTGTTGTCGTTATTATTATTGCTATGATTATCAGTATTATTACCATTATCATTATCATTATTATTGTTATTACGGTTATTGTTGTTATCATCACCATCATTATCATCACCATTATTAATACTAACTATGATAATGGTAATAACGATGATCATACATTGATGATAAAGGACATTTCCAAATGATGATAATACATAAGAAAAAATGTGAAGGAAATAATAAAAGTAAGTTGTGAAGTTGAAGTTAAAAGCAGGATACGTTATATACAAAAAACGTGGTCAGAATAGGAGAAGGAATAAATGAAAGGACAAAGAGGGAGCCAGCAGATTCAAAAGAAAGGCAAGAAAAAGGTTAACAATGTATGGGAGAGTGCAACAACAAAAAGTAAATAAACGCAAGGGGATTGCATATCAAATCGTATATTGAGAGTCTGTACTTGAGAGAGAGAGAGAGAGAGAGAGAGAGAGAGAGAGAGAGAGAGAGAGAGAGAGAGAGAGAGAGAGAAGAGAGAGAGAGAGAGAGAGAGAGAGAGAGAGAGAGAGAGAGAGAGAGAGAGAGAGAGAGATTGTGAGAGAGAGAGAGAGAGAGACAGAGACAGAGAAACAGATAGAGACAGACAGAGGCAGCGAGAGCGAGAGGAGAGAGAGAGAGAGAGAGAGAGAGAGAGAGAGAGAGAGAGAGAGAGAGAGAGAGAGAGAGAGAGAGAGAGAAGAGAGAGAGAGAGAGAGAGAGAGAGAGAGAGAGAGTACAAAGTAGCAGCATTGAATGGAATGTGAAAATAAAAAGGGCAGGTAGCAAGCCCCAATACCATCATACATTCCACGTGTGTACAGTGAGATACTATTATTTCATAACGACTTTGCAGGGAGGAACATATGAAGCGTGACTTTGATCATGGATGCGTCTCATATAAGCCAAAAGAAAAAAAAAAGAAAAAGAAGAAAAAAAAAGAAAAAGGAAAAAAGAAGCATTGACGAAGAGGACAAAAAATTGCAAAGAAAGTACACTGG